ACAAAATTGATACCGGAGATGCACAACCAATCAAACAAAATCCGAGAAGACTTCCGCTCGCCAAACGTGAAGAAGCTGATAAAATCCTTCGAGAAATGAAAGAAGACGGTGTCATCGAACCATCTAACAGCCCGTGGACATCGCCGGTAGTACTAGTAAAGAAGAAAGACGGTACCACCAGGTTCTGTATTGATTATCGGCAGCTCAATAATGTTACCAAGAAGGATAGTTATCCCCTGCCGAGGATAGACGATACTCTAGACACGCTGGCGGGGTCAACGATATTCTCTAAGTTAGATCTGAAGAGTGGATATTGGCAAGTCGACATGGCGCCGAAAGACAGAGAGAAGACAGCGTTCTCGGTGGGCTCCGGACTGTGGCAATTTACCGTCATGCCTTTTGGATTGTGCAACGCGCCAGCTACCTTTGAGAGATTAATGGAGTCTGTGTTAAAGGGACTATCCTGGACTACCTGTTTAGTGTACCTGGATGACATCATAGTGGTTGGGAAATCCTTTGACGATCATCTGAAGAATTTGGAAGAAGTTTTCAAGCGACTAGGGAGCTCTGGTTTGAAACTTAGCCCCAAGAAATGTCATCTGTGTCAAGAAAAGGTACACTACTTGGGCCATGTAGTCTCCTCCCAAGGAGTTGCGGTAGATCCACAGAAGACCAAGACAGTGGAAGAGTGGCCGATACCTAAAGATAAACATGAACTACGAAGCTTTTTGGGACTATGCACATACTATCGCCGCTATGTACAGGGTTTCGCCACCATCGCAAAACCATTGACCAGACTTACCGAAGGCGAGAGGCGTTCTCTTGGGACTCAGATTCTGACGAGGCATTCCGAACATTGAAGAAGGCCCTGACTAGTGCGCCCATACTTAGCTACCCCCTTGGCAACGGAAACTTTATATTGGATACCGACGCTGGCAATGTTGGATTAGGCGCTGTTCTGTCTCAAATCCAGGATGGTCAAGAAAAAGTAATTGGTTATTTTAGTAAGACCTTGTCAAAACTGGAAAGGAACTACTGCGTGACCAGACGAGAATTACTAGCCGTAGTTAAAGCAGTGGAACACTTCTACAAGTATCTCTATGGAAGAAAGTTCTTGTTAAGAACAGACCATGCTGCTTTGAAATGGCTGTTGCAGTTTAAGAATCCTGAAGGGCAGGTAGCTAGATGGATCGAACGATTACAAGAATTTGACTTCGACACAGAACATCGAGCTGGGGCAATCCATCGAAATGCCGGCGCACTTTCCAGAAGACCTTGCGATAAGGACTGTAAGCATTGTTCCCGAGCAGAAGAGAAAGAAGCGAAACTCGTAAGAACAACTGTGGTTAATGATACTTGGCAACCCGAAGATCTTGCAAATGACCAAACCAGTGACCCAGAATTAGGTTTAGTAATTAACTAGAAAAATGCAGACCTAAGACCAACGTGGGAAGAAGTTTGCAGATATTCGCCGAACGTAAAGTCGTACTGGGCTCAGTGGAATTCCTTGGTAATAGATAACGGACTACTTCGCCGTGTGATCGAGAGACCGGAGGGACAAGAAGAGAGAAGGCAGATCGTCATTCCAAAGAAGAGGATCCCGGAAGTCTTGGAGGAAGTTCACAATGGAACCAGCGGTGGACATCTCGGTGTTACCAAGACACTTGCAAGCTGCGGGAACGGTTCTATTGGGTGAACTGCAAAGGAGATGTGAGGAAATGGTGCAAGAAATGTGACGTTTGCGCCGCCATCAATGGACCACAAAAGCGCGGTAAAGCCCCAATGCGCCAGTACAATGTAGGCAGTCCCTTCGAACGAATAGCGATCGACGTGGTTGGTCCTTTCCCAGAGTCGAACGATGTCAACAAATATATTGTGGTAGTAATGGATTACTCCGCAAATGGGTCGAGGCCTACGCGTTGCCAAATCAAGAAGCGTCCACGATTGCTGATGCCCTTGTTAAAGAATGGATCTGCAGGTTTGGTGTTCCCATGGAGCTTCATTCAGATCAGGGAAGAAACTTTGAGTCCAATCTGTTCCAAGGCGTCTGTGAAGTCCTGAACATCCGCAAGACCAGGACGACTGCTCTACATCCACAATCCGATGGGATGGTTGAACGCATGAACAGAACTATCAACCGTTATCTGGCCAAAGTAGTCTCTGACCACCAAAGAGACTGGGACAAATTTCTTCACCTGTTCCTGTTGGCCTACCGTTCATCCGTCCAAGAATCTACAGGGCAAACTCCAGCCAGCATCGTTATGGGACGGGAAGTGCGCCTACCCTGTGATCTGAAATTTGGTTGCCGACCGGGAGAAGAAGTCGCCGGAGAAGATTATGTCCACACACTACGTCAAAGGATGGACGACATTCATCAGAGAGTCCGCCTAAATATTCAAAGTGCTAGTGACCGAATGAAGGAACACTACGACATTCAAGCTGAGCATGGAGGATACCAACCAGGGAAGTTGGTGTGGCTATATAACCCGCAGAGACGTCGTGGGTTATCTCCGAAGCTACAATCCTCGTGGGAAGGGCCATACGAAGTCATGGATAGAATTAATGACGTCGTATACCGTATCAGAAAATTGCCAAAAGGAAAACCGAGGGTAGTCCATTTCAACCGTTTGAGCCCCTACCAAGGCGAAATAGAAGATCGTGCTGGGACCGTGAGAACCTGCAGCTTTGATCCCCCTGATTCGGAGATGTCCTTTGACGATTTCATGGCCCGATACAACAGCAGTGAGAAGGCTCGCTATGGTGTAACCAAAGAAGATCAACGAGACCTCTTTTCCGTGCCTCCTGATTATTCGCTCGCTCATTGTGTGGCTCGAGATTTGCGGATGTCCAGAGGAATCGCTGCGACGTTCAATGAGAAGTTTGGGCGTGTCGGAGAACTACGCCGACAGGATCCAGAGGTTGGAAGCGTCTTGAGGCTAACCGACAATGCACATGGTCAAGCAAGGCACATCTTCTACCTGGTCACCAAGGAATGGTCCCCGAGTAAGCCGACTTATCTCAATCTATGGAAGACCCTGATTGAACTGAGAGAAGCCCTGCTAAACAACAACATTGCACGATTAGCCATTCCGAAGCTGGCGTGTGGACTCGATGGTTTGAGTTGGCGTACAATCCGGAACATGATTGAAGTCTTGTTCAGATTTACGGGAATCGAGATCCTCGTTTGCTGCTACAACCCAAAGCTGAGATCGGGAGAGAAAACTGTAGACTGCTATTTCTACCAGACTTCGCAATGTACCAGGGGCCAGCTTTGCAAATACCTTCATTCACCGTATACATCTCGGGACGAGCATGTGCCTAAGAAGGGGCAGTGTTGCGAGCCGGTGTGGACTCGACCTAACCTCACAATATGGCCCGCCCTCGGATGACCTTAACATCGCATAGACACCGCAATGATTCATTCGTTCGAGAAGAATCGAGACCCACTAGAATGGATTAGTACATACGAGAACATTCGAAAACCTTCTCTATGCGCCTAACGATCTATGGACTATTCTAGATTTCTTTTGCTGTAGGTATAAAAGCCGGCGGCAGTGGCCTAGAGAGGGCAGTTATAAATATACAGTTGACGCGCTAAAATTCAAAATAAATTCTTAGTTATAAATCGTTTGTAAATAGTTCTATAAGTCTTTTATCGTTATTGTTTTTGTTAATTAGTGTTAAATAAATAGTGTTTAAATAAATTGTGACTTTCTATCCACACGGAACCGACGAAAAACGTAAGAATACGATAATTGTTTTGAGTGGTTTATATACGATTTTTAATTTTTAATGGATGAATCTTATGGATTGGATAATGATTGGATATCAGTGTTAAAATCTTAGACCAAAAGGTTAAAATTTCATATACTAAACAGATACGTCGATCCGTTCTGTAGCTACGGAACATCCGTAAGGGGGGAGGGAATTCATGAGCGTGCCATAAATATTTTAGATAACATTACTTATACAAAAGTTTCAAAAATACCTAATCAGTATTTTTTTCAATGTTTTCCTTTACATAAATGAGATATTAATCTTTATGAAAATTAAAAAAATAAGAAGAAAATCAATAAAATCAACTGCAACGACTGCACTGTTCTTCCAGCTCGGTCTGCTACCGTTTTCATCTATGTCACAATCCTGGATAAGCTGATTTTAACTATTTTAAGAAAAAATGCATACTTTTTAAATTAAAACAGGTAACAATGCAAACCTATGATTTTGTCAAATGTAATTTAAAAATATTAATTTAATGTTTAACAGTTTTAATATTTAATATTTATGTAAATGCAATTTATTGTGCTGTGTACACTACTACATCATAGTACATACTGTTAGTGTGTCCTAAATGCATTTTTAAATAATTTAAAACTTGTTCTATATCATTAAGCAAAAAGCAAAAGTCCTAACGCAAATAATATACCAAAAGAAAGTGTAACGTTTGGCATAGGAAATACAGTTTGACAGTGGCAGGTTGACAACTTAAATTGAATTAAGTTATATTGACATTGGCCTGGTTTTGAATTCCTACATTTTCAGTTTTTTTTTCTTATAGGTAAAGTCGGTTTGGTATGTATAGTTATTTGCTATATCGAGGGTCATAGTGCAGGATCTGGTATTATTTTTTATTTAATTTTTTTTTGATATTTTATTCCGTTACTATCAGAAGTACTACATCTGTTGGTAATTTGTTTAAATGTTTATAAGTATTACAGTAAGTTGCGCGCTGTGATCCTCCATATGCAGACCTACTTACCAATTTGGACGGTTCAAATTTTAATTTACATTTATCTATTTTTATTAGACCCAATATTATTATTACTTTTTAATCATATTTGTGTATACTAAATACATATCTATGGTATAAAAAAGTCCAATATGATTTTTAAGGGAAAATATTGATATTTTGAAAATTAATAGCTAATTTGAAATACTGTTTTATTATCCCATTTAAACCAGAACAATACAATTTTGATTATTTTTTTTAATTTTTGTAGGGCTTGCAGAATTTACTGGATGAGGATTGGCAAAATTTACCGTACAGAAATTTGGGAAGAGATGACAGAGTTGTATCAGACCATGGTCGTCAGCTCAGAACACCATATTTGGATGAAAATGTGGTCCAGTTTTTGAGAAGTCTTGAATGTTGGGAAAAGTAAGTGGTTTGCTAGAAGATTACCATTGGTTTGATTCTTCTGTTATTTGCATTTATACAATAAAAAAATAAAAAAGAAAGAAAAGCATATTAGATCTTAAGCATTAACATAAGATTTACAGGGTGGCCCATCTTTCTAAAAAAGCTTCATATATCATTATAAATCAGTGATGGCGAACCTATGACACGCGTGTCAGTACTGACATGCGAGTACATCTTTGGTGACACGCATCTTTAAAGATAAAAAGTTCCTTAATTCCTTTGAATAAGAAGACTAAGGAAGGAGCATTTTGCTATCCATGTATTCATGCATGGTGGGCGGAAAAAGGACTCTAGGGTGGGGATCCTTGACAGTTCTGTTTGACGATTCATTTGACACATTTGAATTTGATTTGAAATTTTGTGGATTTGTCAATCTTTACGGAGCTTATTTTATGTTATTTATTATTTATTCTACTACTGATAGTTGTATAAAGGTAGTAAATCTAGATGGAAATTGTGGCAGAACTTAAATTAACAGTGACACTATCGCGATTTATCGAAAAAGACTCTAAAATAGTTGGTTGTGTAGCGTGCGGTAGATCTCGGCAAAAATCGAGTGAAATAATGGAACTTTTCGCTAGTAAGTGACTATATAATATACATACGTGTAGTAAACCGATCATTTATGAAATTCACTTAAATTAACTAATTATATATTTTTTCTTGCATTTTTGCTTTTATTTACTACTTGTCAAAGAATTTAGATACGTCAATTTGACTTACCTGCTTCAGTAGCGTATCGGATGTTTGTGTTAATAAATAATTATTAAAACTTATCTATTTTTATTATAATAATATGTTTTTATAACAATTTTAATAACTACCAACATTTATTCACAACGTAAAATAAAAAAAAATTATTGAGTCTACCCCACGTCTACCCTACATCATAGTTTTACATTTTTTAAATAAAATTAGAACGGCACTGATAAACCGGAATTTAAGTCGGCCATATATTTGAGTCCCATCGAGGTGGATCTAAGATTTTTGATATGCTCCTTCCTTAGTCTTCTTATTCAAAGCTTAATTCAACTATTTGTCTCTCATAATGGCCAGAGTTGGTTATTAATAATAATATTACTTACTTTATACAGAATGTTTCAAAAAACATGTGCCATCTCTCGTGGGGAAATTCCTCACGTAAAAATAAGACTTATTTTTCATATCAACATAGGTCCGATTCTGCTTTGTTTCTGTAGCTACTACAGGGTGTTAAAGTCTTAATAATTTTTCGATTTATTATAATTTTCTTCCAAGTAGTTTTAGTGATTTGAATGAAATTTTGAGGGTAAAAGTTACCTTAGTGTTACATATTTTAATGCTAAAAAAGTGTCGACTTATTCACCAGGGACGTGCATATGGGTTATCACTAGAATATTTTTCAAGAAAAAAACATGTGCGCTACTGACTATTTTTCTTTTGATATCAAAATTGTGTAGGCGGTTTAATGCAAATTAAAAGTTATCCCTTGATATTTTGTCCAATTCAGCCTCCTTGATGAGATAAATGCAATAATTTTATTAATCACAATTAATAAAATTAAAATAAAAACAAAATTAATAAATTATATATTTTATATACCTAATTTATTATTAAATAATTACTATTAGTTATTATTACTATTAGTCCAAAATATAGCAATTTCAAACAAAAAAATAATGGTATTTAAGATAACTATAAAAAACCTAATTTTAAAAAGTTTTAACATACTGTAACTCTAAAACTATGCATTTCCATATCCATGTTTATAGGAACTTTTTTCATATTTTTTGATGAGGGATCATCATGATTTTTTGATGAATACTTATTTGAAACTTTCGCAAATTAATGATATTATTTTTTTTAAAAGTTGCTATTAGACTTGGATCAAGGCAAATTAATAAAATTGCGTTTATCTCATCAAGGAGGCCGAAATCGACAGGATATCAAGAGACAACTTTTAGTCGGCATTGAACTAGCTGCTTACACTATTTTGCTAACAAAAGAAAAAAAAGTCAGTGGCGTACATGTTTTTTTAGAAAAATATTACAGTGATAACCCATATGCAGAAAATTATAATAAATCGCATAAATATTAAGATTTTTACACCTTGTAGCTCCGAAACAAAGCAGAATCGAACCTATGTTGATATGAAATATATATCTTATTTTTAAGTGAGGAAACTCCCCACGAGAGATAGTACATGTTTTTTGAAACACCCTGTATAACGTAATACAATATGATGAAAAAAATGGCGTCAGCGACGGCGATGTATATATATAAAATTATATATAATTAAAATTATATGGGGAATATCATCGACTGTCACTTCCAAGCCAACTGGACGTCTTTTTTATCATACGGTATAAAATGAATGTATTAATAATTAACTTACAAAAATTATAAATATTGCTATTTTTTGTTTTAGTCCTTTTGTGATGTGTGACACGCAACGAAATTTATGTTTTGATTTTTCAACATTTTGACACACCAAGTTCAAAAGGTTCGCCATCACTGTTATGAACAAATAATTCATGTTTTCTGTTTTTTTTTATTATTTTTGTTTTTGAAGTGAAACTTCTTTACGCGCTCTGAGAGTAAAAAAAGAGAAGTAAATCCACAGATCCCATACAAAATAGATAGGCAACTCTCATACATTAAATATGTCGCGAAAAATTGGAAAGAAATCAAATGATGGGTGGCGCCATCGAACGAGTGGACAGAAAATTACATTTTAATATTAATAAGTAATTGATTGATTATTAATAAGTAATTGATTTTAAAATACAGGTATCTACAATGTCAATTGAAGAAATATTTTACAGATCCCTTTTTTTTCAATGTTTTGGTAGGGTGGGAAATTTTAAATAAATGTTTACTTAGATATAAGCACCATTTGTAAATAAACTCAGTTATTTGATTAAAATGTTGGTATATTTTCATTCAACATTAAAGTAATAAAATAGATGTCAATATGTTATATAATGTAAAATAGAAAAAGTGTATACATAAACATCCATTTTAGTTCAGTATAATGCTCCTGGAACACAGCATTTTCTATATGTCGGGCTCATGATTACTTTTAACCCTTTCACTGCTGAACCGGTTTTCAAAAGTTGTGCCTACTCTGCTGCAGTGGGAGACCAGTGCGTCTGCGGCCGCTTCCCGCAGTTAAATTATACAGGGTGAGTCTTAAATGTTTTCAGAGCTGGTAGACAAATAAAACATATTTTCTCTTTACTGTTTTCAAATAAGTCCAAAATAACCGAGATATTTTATTTTGAAAATTTCAAAAAAATTGATTTTTCGCTTAAATTTTGAGAACCACTGTATCTTTTCTGGGTTTTCTTTCTTGTAAATTTAATCTAATATCTATGTTACCATATTATGAAGATATTATGTTTTTTAACTAAAAATTTTTAAAAAATCCATTTTTTTTCAAAATTTAAAAAAAAAATTTCGCGAAAATAGACGTGTTTCTTGGGTCGAAATATACAACCCCTAAAGATATTTGCACTTAGTTAAGACTCACCCTGTATATTAAAGCGTTGAATATGCGCTTTCGCAGCTAACTGAATACCCAGAATAAACTTTATTTATTGCTTGGTCATTTATTTATTTAGATATTAAAACAACACAATCTGTTGAAACTTCTTTATTATAAACTATCAGTATACAAGTAATTCCACATAAAATTCTACATTTCATGTGATCTTCATGCATTGTTACCTCTATGTCCTCCTCACTATCGCTATTAGCTAATATATTGTAACGATCTTCATCAGTGAGGGGTTTTTTACGTGCCATAATGCGACATAACTACCATAAAATAAAACGAACTAAGCGGCACCGGTTAAATACGCATATGGTCTAAACCATAGACTTAAAATAAAATATAGACTACACTATTTACATCTCAACGCGGTCAAACAATCTTTTTTGTACACATGTTTGCTTTTGGGTACAATCGACGGAGCCTTCCTCATCCAGCCTATGTTGTCACGTCTTTAATATTATCAATATTTTTTTTCTTGTTATACACATATATTGAGATTAATACTACAGTTTAATAAAGTAGGTTTTAATATTCTATAGGTGTATTAAATAGTCCTTATACTACTAAATTATAACTCGGATACTGTTTAAAAAGGATAAGTTCTTTACAATATGACAACACCGATTAGAGGGGAGGGAGCCTATTCATTCTTTATTACCTTGTAGTACGCGCCGCACGTGTACGGTAAAGCTTTGTTGCCGCTATGTCCCCGGCTGTATTAACGCAATTTCTTAGCTTGTAGTCCTTAAGTGTTTATTTTATTGACTTTTTCTGTTCAAGAACTATAAAATATGGTTCGCCAGTGCCAAATTTGCAAGAAATTTGACTTGAATAATCCATTTAAGTCTTGAAACGACTTTCGACCGGTAGGCAACTCTCAATTTGCCCATTGGGAGTCAGTGGCGTTGTTGTAGAAAGGCGCTTATTTAGATAATATTTTAGTAAAATGTAAAATCTGAATTTTTTCTGTTACATTACATTATTTACTTACTTACATTGTAACAAAATCATAATTATAACCCTGTTAATAATTAATAATGTTTTTATTAAAAATATATTCCGGTTTATTCTAAAATTATCTTCAGAATCTAAAAGAACATACAAGAATTTTAAAATGATATTACATTATGAAACAATATTTTTTAATATACCGGGTCGTCTCAAAAGTGGCTCACCCCCTATGACATTTTTATTTTTTCAGATAAAAAAAAACAAATTTGTATGTTAGTAGGTATATGACATAAATTAGGATTTATTGACATATTCAATTGTTTTTGGTCTCTTCCTGTTTCACCGAAATGATTACATCTTTTGATTTTTAAAGGCACCCTCGGTATATTGCTACTTTATTCGATAAAAAATGACACTCTGAATAGAATGACATATCATATGTCAACTTTTGACATTGTCGTTTAAAAACAAATCGTATTTTAAATTTCAATCCAGGGTGCCATGGTGTTGTTAAAAACACTAAGTTTTAATCAAGGAGCCTTGGAAAAATAGTTTTGATCGTCTAATGGGTTTCGTGTCTAGGCCGGTTAAAAGATGTACAAATCGTATTTTTAATCATACATATGTCAACTTTTTCAAATGGAACAAGGGTGGCTCATTAGCATATTTGGAAAAAGCATTTTTTATGAATATATTGATACCACACACTTGGTATTTCGAGGCAAATTGTCGTTATGAACCGCGTGTTACAATTACAATTAAACCATATGCGAAAATGTAAAAAGTTGACATATGATATGTCATTCTATTCAGAGTGTCATTTTCTATCGAATAAAGTAGAAATATACCGAGGGTGCCGTTTAAAAATTAAAAGTTATAGTCATTTCCGGTGAAACAGGAAGTGACCAAAAACAATTGAATGCGTCAATCAATCCTAATTTATGTAATATACTAACATACTAAATCTTGTTTTATAATTTGAAAATATAAAAAAATTATGGGGGATGAGCCACTTTTGGGACGCACCCGGTATAATAAAGACAGTACCGAGTTAAATAAATGTAGTTTTCATTTTATCCACTTCCTAGCACCTTCCTTGCTTTAATGGAACAGATTTATGTTTTCTCTAATTTACATAATAAGACATCACTTAACCAGAAAAAAAATTACAACGATCATATTTTTTTCTCTCTCCCTGTCGCCGTTTCTATTATATCTGTGGAATAGATCCTGTTTTGATTAATATTAGGGGTTGTAAATGTTTGACTAAAATTAATAATTTATTATTAATTTCAAAAATTACGTAATTTCGATTATAAAATTTCTTGTATAACGTATATTTTATTATTTTTATCCTTTTTGAACTCTACGACGTTTTTTCTAAACTTTTATTTAAAAAACCTGTCCTAAATCTTAATAAAATATAAAAAAGTTTAAATACAATATATTTTTAATTTAATTATAGCTTCATTAAAATAAAAAAATTACCCGGCTATGATACGGAGAGTTCAGGTGTACTTGAGAAACGAAAGACAGTGTTGTGTTTCTCGGCAGAGTCGTCAGGGAACGACCGTTACGACAGAGACAACCTATCTATCGCTCGTGTCGCACTCGTTATAACCTAAAACAATAACACAACAATAACAAGACCACAACAAGACATTGTCTGACCGCATGTTCCAGCTATTTATGAATGAGATGCTCAGTCTATATTTTATTTTAAGTCTATGGTCTAAACACAACAGTCCTCAAACATCTGACCAGAGATCTGACATACCCTACCGTCTCAGAAGTGTCTAGTCCTAGCAGTCAACTATTAAGCTTGACCAATCAGGTTGGTTAGCGTGGTTATTTGGAGTGTGTTAATTCATTTGTGTTTGTCAAAAACTCTAACGTGATTGGTCGGGCTTAATAGTTGTCTGCTAGGGCTAGACACAAGTATCGTCTCCACACCTTAAGTGTACACTATCTGTGCTCTGCAGTAGTCTGCAGGTGCTCTGGAAACAAATCAGAGATAACAGAAAAACAAATTGAAACAAATGGTGGATGCCGGCCACATTACCACGCGGCGGGATTCCCCGTTTCGGGGGAACGGTTCTGTGCAGGCGCCACGTATTTGACAACGAAGAGGGAAAAATGACATATGCGCCAACTTACGCAAAATTTTGGTAATAAAATATATAACTTTCTGTCCACTCGTCCGAGGGCGCTAAAAATCGTATAAAATTCAAATCAAAACATTTTGTCGTATTAAAGTTTCCCGGCCCTGGGTAAATCGGAGGGCATGTCGGCGAGCATGTCATTAAGAAGTTTCGCTTCAAATATGCGCATATAGTGTACAGACAATTTTTTTATTTTTACTTCATTCTAGTCAGTCTCGTTTTTTTACTAGTAGGTGTAGACTATTAAAAGTCTTATAACTATCTACAGCAAAATTTTGAGCATTAGTTAAGTAACTATTTCATGTCACAATTAATTTTTTTCTTGTGAGTGAATATACTCTGTTTTTTTTTCTGAGGTAAGATTTCGACAGACGATGACAGAAGAAAAGCAGATGACGTCCCATACCAATCTATTTATTTTACTAAAAAAAGTTTCTAATAATTTTTAAGTTAACTATGGATGGGTTTAAATATAAATTCGTCATGCGTCGTCACTTGTTGTTTTTAACCAGTTTTATTGATTTATTTCAAAAATGACAGATCGTATTTCAATTTTGTTGGTTTCACCTTTGAATAAGAAGACTAATGACGGAGCATAATGCTATCCATGTATTCATGCATGGTGGGCGGAAAAAGCACCATAAAAGCACTCTAGGGTGGGGATCCTTGACAGTTCTGTTTGACGATTCATTTGACACATTTCAATTTGATTTGAAATTTTGTGGATTTGTCAGTCTTTACGGAGCTTATTTTATGTTATTTATTATTTATTCTACTACTGATAGTTGTATAAAGGTAGTAAATCTAGATGGAAATTGTGGCAGAACTTAAATTAACAGTGACACTATCGCGATTTATCGAAAAAGATTCTAAAATAGTTGGTTGTGTAGCGTGCGGTAGCTCTCGGCAAAAATTGAGTGAAATAATGGAACAACTTTTCGCTAGTAAGTGACTATATAATATACATACGTGTAATAAACCGATCATTTATGAAATTCACTTAAATTAACTAAATTATATATTTTTCTTGCATTTTAGCTTTTATTTATTACTTGTCAAAGATTAGATGTCAAAGAATTTAGATACGTTAGTTTGACTTACCTGCTTCAGTAGCGTATCGGATGTTTGTGTTAATAAATACTTATTATAAATATATAAATACTTACAGCTACTCTAAAATTTCAATATATGTATATTTGTCGTAGGTATGAAAAAAGTAAAATATAAAATGGACGAACGCTTACTTACATTGCAATAAAACTTCCACTTTTAGTTTTGCAATCCAAACGCAATATTTCTATTTCACAAATAAAAATATCCAACAACACTAAAATCACTGAAACTTCCGCGGCTGACAACGAAAACGGAAAAATATAACGGCACGTTTTGTTTTGGACCTGCATATCAACATTACGCTGTACTATTATGTGTTTGTTGTTGAAATAATATAAAATATCTAATTATAACTTGTAAATTTTAATATTTTAACATGATTTTAACTACTTTTGACAATAACTAACTTTTTGTTATCAAGATGACATTTTAGACGGCAACTGACATATACATATGTCATAATATTTGAATCTTAAATATGTATGTAATATAATTTAAATTACTATAATGCAACTTTATACTAAGAAAACATTTATACATTCACAAAATACAACAAAGTCTAATAATATAGTTGGAAAACAATGAATATTGAATTAAAATTGAAAAAGTTAAGCGCGACCCCTTGTGTCAAAATTACATGATTAAATTTTCGCAATTTTTACACCATTTGATGACCGGTGGCGCCTCTAGTGTTTGTTCGGGCGGTTGGTCTTTTACTCCCGCTTATGGCCATTAAAGACAAAGTTCTAAAGGGGGATGTTTTGTGCAGTTGTACCAAATCATTTCTTTGTAAAATAAAATAAACTACTTTGAAATTAAAATGACAGACACATCTATCACTGTCAAGGATCTTCTCGTTGGACAGACTATAAATACGATTTATTGTACTGATTCAGCTGACATATTTTAAATTATAAAACAGAAAATTATTGTATAGGCTTGGTGCATTCTCCGCTGGTGCTGCCACCGCCCGGGAATATCGTAAATAACGAACAAGTACAAATACACGGGTTTAAATGGCGAGTAAACGAAAATATTAGTATATAAATATTCTAAAAGTGTTAGAAAGTATAATTTGTGGAAATTCTGAACAAAAAAAATAAATATTTTGATATCTTCAGTAGGTCTAACTTGCATGATAATTTATTATTCCAGTTAAAAAAAAATTAGATGAGATCAACTACGGTAGCGAGCACATTTTTATCACCGGTTTTGCTAGTGGGGCATAATTGGAGCTATTTTGCCTATAACGAAATTTTTCGAAGAAGGTACATAATTATAATTTTAGAAGATGTTCATAAAACGTTTAATCACTAGTTGGTTAAAAAAGTATACCATTATTATTGCACACAAATTATATTTCATCCTCTCATAGTATATGTCTATTTATCTTTTTGATTATGCAACGAGCACTTTGTTTACTCACTTGTTTCGTCGAACTGCTTGAATCCATTTTTGCTATTGATCAAATCGGTGTAAGAAATTATGAAGCTATAAAATGTTGTTTCGGGAACGTTGAATATCCGGGAAAGTTGAGTTATTGAATGTTACTGAACTTAACAATGCCCTAATTACGCTCTCCTTTACACGTTAACATTTTTTTGGGCAATTTTATTAACATTTGAAATTGTCACAACACAACAAGACGCCTAGTTCGAAATCTTTTTCACTTACTTTTTACTACCCGAAACAGCGGTACATCACACAAACCTCGTACCCGAGTGTTTTATAGTCTCAATAACTGCACTAGCAAAAAACCAAAATACTTAAATATTTGACAAAACCCCGATATCAATATTATTTTAATGCGATTGACATGACGGCGGCGTGAACTATGTGTTGATCATTTCTGATTTGTACCGTAGAGTGCGCTTCGGTCGGAATTTGTTGAAATCAACTGAAATGTACCAAACCTATTTGTTCTGCAAAATATTAAGTTAGATAAAAATGCACATGTTGTCATAAAATATTAAAAGTTACATTTTAAATAACTGAATGTCTTGTGATCTTTATAGTTTTGTTACTCTATAGTTCAATAGCGGATAAAATGTCTTATCTCCATAGCTTTGTTATTCTATGGTTGGTGCTATCCTGTTTTTTGTTCTAGGACATATCCATCTTCCGATCTACCTCTAGGAGTTGGTGAAAAGGTCCTACTTCGTTCATTGGCCTTTTACTTGGGTCTAAAAAACGCGGCCATTTTGAAAAAGAAGGCTCTACAATTCGGCTCGAAAATAGCCAACCCCAAAGAAAATGGCCATGAAATATCTTCCAGGTTGTGTAATTGAACAAAACAAAGAGTACAAGTACTATTGTTGATATTTTTTATTTTATATATCTATAATTATTATGTATTTATTGTTATCGCATTTACTTATTTATTTTAACATGAACTTTTTTCAAAATGATTTCGATGTACTAAATTGAATGGATTTGTTATATTTATTATTTATATAAATCTAAATACGCATAATGAGGCTTTATTAAAATTAAATCAATCGCAGAACTAAATAAATGGATTTTATTTCATTTAATCTGCCACAATGTCTCATTATGACACATTTAACATTGTCATTTGGATGTCATTATGGCTTTCATTTTGGCTTTCATAATAGCACTAGTGCTATTATGAATTCATAATAACACGCAAATTTTAAAATAAGAAACAAGCAAAAAAGATACCTAAATACGTTTATTTATTGTAAACATTAATTATATAATATCAGTACAAAATTAATTCCAGACGATGACAGGTGAGTTGAATTTTTAGAAAGTAAATTTATTTCCTGAGTGCTTGAACTTGTTGAAGACCCATCATTGCCAGAAATGTTACCCAAAATATTACATGACACTTTTTTCTTATTTTCTTTGGAATTTTCTATATAGCCCTCTGCCACTGTGTTAGAGCGCCAACCACCATGTCTTTTAACAGTTAATAAATCCACTCCTGAATCTGCAAGCAACGACACAGACGATCTACGGAAACAATGTCCAGTGTATTGTGGTTTTGGAAGACTTAGGAACAATGCTATTTTATACGGCATTTTCCCTAAAGTATTAATGCCAACGCATTGCTTAATACATTTCAATTTCTGTACCCCACAAAAAATCGAGTATGCTCTGTGTTGCTTGGCCAGTTCCACCATATTTATTCCTTCAACATTCCCTTTCGTTATAAAAAAATCTCGTGATATCTTCGTTTTCGTAAATGAAATAATGACATGAATGCATTGTCCTTCATCTTTAACATTTTGCAGCTGCAGATTTGTCAAGTCCATACTCAGCGCCGGCAGGCTCCCGCACGTCCCTCTATCAATGAAACTTTTGTCAGGAAATAAGTCTTATCATCGGCTTCCAACAAAAAACAAGTTATGTCTTCTTTTCTTAAAATTCTCGATTTTTTTGACCGAAATCCTTCCTATTTTCTTTTTAGAAATGCAATTAAATGGACGTACTTACTAATATCTGTATTTTTCTTCAATGGTATAACTGAACGTAGCATGGAATAATATACCCAAAGTGATGAAGCCTTCCTATATTTTGCAAGATGTTCAAAATATGCCAGGAGAACTTTTCGTTACTACTATTCTTGGTTCCTTTCCCTTTACACCAATCTTCAAATTTTACATAGGCTTGCTCGTATTTTACATAGGTTTGTCTTGATTTTTCGGGAAGTAGGGAATCGACAACGTTTTGCGCAATGCTTTCAATATCCGAAGGGACACTTTCAGAATCAGAATCACCCATATTAATATTATTTTTTGCTTTTTGCTAAAACTGAACGTTTAACACAAAATTGAACATCAATAATTGAGTTGTCAAAGTCAAAATGGAAACAATCAACAAGCACGTTTACCACGACGTCGACTAATATGGGCACCTGATAATTTTCAATTTAATTTTTATGAGGATATCTCTGATATTTTAAATTAAATCAAATCTCTTTGGATCGTCCCTCGTGTCGCGTCGTAAATTAAATTTTGAATGATACACGTTCGATACAAACTTTTTAATGAAACTTGTGTAACTAAGCCACTTAACGTTACACGCGTTTCATTATGATGTTCTTATCGAACTTGTATCATTAATAACTATTATACCTCTGATTCTTTTTAACAGTAATACAAAAAGTGTTAAAAATCACGACTTCATTGATATGACTGATATTAAATTTAAATAATTTTTTAAAAATAAAATAAAATGGTAAACTTTTTTTGGATTGCAAAAACTACATTTTGTTATTTTAAGGTATTTGATTTAAATAAATCTTATTTCATTCTAGCTTTGAATAAAAAGATTAAGCAAGGAGTATAAAGTTTGGTGTAAAGCTTACATGGATAGCTTCATACATGAGAGGCGGAAGACGTTAATGAATCGTTATCATGACCCCTCATGCTTGACAGGTGTTGACAGTCCTGTTGTCAAATAGGACTTATCCCGGGGGTGACGGGAACCCAGTGTATGTTTATCCCCGAAATCCCGATATTAAATACCGGGATCCCGAAAATGTATAAATGCCCAATCTAAAATGATTCGACTAGACACCTTAGTCTTCCAACAATCATATTTTATTTATACTAAGCAGAACGTCAATATCTAAAAGTTATATTTTCGTGTTTGCTATATTTTATTTTTTTTTGCAACAAGAATTATTGTATTTTTTCTACTTAATAAATATGAATAATATGTTACTTTGTTTTGTCCATTTTAATAAAGCTCTTTTCTCATTTTTAGCCGACTATACCAACAGGTATGGTAGGCTGTTAAGATCGGCAAAAAAAAGTTTTTTTAATTTCACTTAAAATGAGTTATTTGGGTCATAAATGACCTAAATACAAAATATTTTCATTGTGTCTGTCTGTCCGTCTGTAACGCTATAACTCAAAAACCGCTCAACCGATTTTAACCAAATTTGGCACAGAAATATAGTGGCACCCAAGAATCTGGCCATTAGTTTTTGGTGGGGTTGGGGGGTTGGTAAGGGGGTATGGGAGGGGGTTAAAAATTTAAAAAAATCGTAACTCCAAAATTACAGTAGCTAGCAAAACGCGGTTTTCAATTTAAGATTAAGAATAATATTTGCAACAAAATTTGTAATAACATCAAAATCAGTCAAAGTCGCAGTTTTTGAGATATTCCGGGTTTCAGTAGTCCGTTTTTGAGAAAATCCGTGTGGAGAACTCCAAACTCCCATTGGACACGACCCCAGGTGGCGGATAGGGGAAATAACCGCGGACCAAAATTGGAAAAAGTCCTTTACTTTGAAACTAAAAGAACTGCCTACCAACTTTTTTTTAAACATATTTTAGTATGGGCGGCTATACGTGCCTCCCGGCGCCAATTTTTTTTTATATATATGTAGCTGCACTTTCATTAAGTATTTCTATACATTACATTTCTCATTCTGCTAGTCAATCACGGGATCCCGATCCCGAAAATTGGAAACCCTACTTGATTTACTTTATTATAGGTATATATATTTTCTTGCATTTTCGCTTTTATTTATTACTTGTCAAAAATAATTAAGATACAATACATTCAATTACACTTACATGTTTCAGTAGCGTATCTGGTATTTATGTTATTACGTAATTATTATGACATACATATTATTCATATTGTTGCGAGCCGGTGTGGACTCGACCTAACCTCACAATATGGCCCGCCCTCGGATGACCTTAACATCGCATAGACACCGCAATGATTCATTCGTTCGAGGAGAATCGAGACCCACTAGAATGGACTAGTACATACGAGAACATTCGAAAACCTTCTCTATGCGCCTAACGATCTTTGGACTATTCTAGATTTCTTTTACCTGTCGGTATAAAAGCCGGCGGCAGTGGCCTAGAGAGGGCAGTTATAAATATACAGTTGACGCGCTAAAATTCAAAATAAATTCTTAGTTATAAATCGTTTGTAAATAGTTCTATAAGTCTTTTATCGTTATTATTTTTGTTAATTAGTGTTAAATAAATAGTGTTTAAATAAATTGTGACTTTCTATCCACACGGAACCGACGAAAAATGTAACAATTGGTGTCAAGTGTGGCGTGTGTGATAGACTAGAAGAATAAAAAGACTGACCATGGCTCTGAAAAAATTGTTGAAAGACTTGAAAGTGTCCGAACTGAAATGCATATTGGAGAGAGAGAGTGCGAGACAGATGGAAAGAAAAGCATTTTGCAAGCTAGACTGAGAGACGTTTTGGTGGAGGAAGGTGAGGATCCTGACACATTTTACTTCGAGCTGGAAGGTGACCTTGACTCGTCATTGAAAAATTAACAAGACAATTTAAACGACAATTTGAATAGTAAAATAATTGACTTGGAAGTTAATTTAGAAGATAAAATCACAGAGAATTCTCAAAAATTAGAAGACAGTTTGAAAGATAAAATTATGGAAAATTCCCAGGATTTAATTAATATTTTAGAAGATAAGATCGCAGAAAATTCTAAAGACATACAGGCCAGCTTTAATAATAAAATACTTAATTTAGAAGAAAAGATAACAGAAAATTCCAGGGAATTAGAAGAAAAGATTATAGAGAATTCTACGGAGCTACAAGACAAAATAACACAAATTGAGGACGATGTAAATAAAAAATCGAAATTTTAAAACAAGAAATAGAAAAGGCCAATTCACCAAAATGTCAAGAAACATCGGAGCACACCGAAACTAGTCGAAAATAAGTATATCTCAAAGTCAGTTATTAAGCCTCCACAGTTTGACGGAAAAACCGCTTGGGCCAATTATTTTTTGCCAGTTTGAGGCCGCTGCGAGAGCGAACGGATGGACAATCGCTGAAAAGGCTACCGCTTTGACTGTCGCACTGCGAGATGCGACTGATATTCTGCAGACATTGTCACCATCGGAACAGGAGATTATCAGCAATTGGTACGACATTTAGAAATGAGGTACGGCCAAGCTCATTTGGAACATGTCTATCATTCCCAGCTAAAAAAATCGCATTCAAAAGTCAAATGAGTCTCTGCAGGAGTTTGAAGCCGACGTAGCCCGCCTCGTTCGCCTTGCGTACCCTGCTACGCCAGAGAATGTTATGGAGCGGTTGGCAGTACAGGCATTCTCCGACGGCTTACGTGATAACGAGAGACAAGACAAGCACTTCTCCTAGCCCACCCAACACACTTGGTGGATGCTTTAGCACGTGCCCTAGAATTCGAGGCCGCGAAACAAAGTTCTCGGTCTTTAGGAAGAGTACGGGCCATCGACGAATGTTCCGACGAATCCGTGGAAGGGATTGTTCGGAAAGTAATGGACCAGTACATGGGCAAGAAGGGACTGATTCATTGCTGGAACTGCGGACAGGTAGGACACGTGCGAAGCCGTTGTAAGGAGAAGAACGAAGAACCGGCTTCGTCGAGGTCGGAAAACTACTAAGGGTCGAAATGAAGGGGCACACGTCGACCTGTACCCAACATGCCCCAACGAAAACTGCTCGAGTCGCCTCGCTACAACACAAATTCAACAGCATGTTTGTGGATGG